CCACATATTTCCTTAAGATTAAATAGTCTTAAAACAATTGAAAATCTTGTAAAGCTTTTCACTACGCCAAAATTGATATTTTGTATCGCCTAATTTAATAGCGCTTTTAAAGAAAATGCTATTAAAAAGGAAACAAACACATCTATAATAGCACTTTATGGTCGGGGGCTATTATAGGGGACAGAGAATGTGATTTTGATAGCACTTTGTAAAAAAAATGCTATTATTAAACTTCACTAAGATAGCGCTTTTTTTAAAAACGCTATTAAACTTCACTAAGATAGCGCTTTTTTTAAAAACGCTATTAAACTTCACTAAGATAGGGGGACAGAGAATGTGATTTTTATAGCACTTTGTAAAAAAATGCTATTATTAAACTTCACTAAGATAACGCTTTTTAAAAAACGCTATTAAACTTCACTAAGATAGCACTTTTTTAAAAAACGCTATTAAACTTCACTAAGATAGGGGACTGTTCATTTTCACGGAGAATATCCTAAAATCTTCTTTCCCCTTCGCTCCCAGATCTGCCGCCAACATCTCTTTTCCTCTCCTTCACTCTCAATCGGAGCCCTCTTCTTCACAAAATAGAGAAGACCTTTTACCCTTGGCCATCACTATCTTCTTCATCCATTTTCTTCGCCGACCCTTTCCTCTCATTTTTTTGCCGTCAAACTATCCCCCACCATTGTCATCTTCAAGCTTCTCCTTCATCATTCTTTTCACCATCACCAACCCATATCTTCGAACCAGAAAACCCTTCAACCACACTCCTTCAGCTCGCCATTGATACCCTCATTTTCCTGATCTGAAACGGCGGCGTCATTGCTCTCGAGTCCACTTCCAACATCAAGCACGGGTTTCGATAACAGTAGCTTTGCGATAACGGCGACAGATGAGTAACAACAACTTGCGGCTTTGTCCTTTTGAGTGTTGATTTCCTGTTTTTATTTGCAGGTTTCCAATGATGGCATTTTCAGTTCATCGCTCGTTGAGTTCAAAGGAAATCGTGATTTGCTGCACTTGGAGGTTCAAGTCGTTGTAATTTTAAACGTTATTGTGAGACTCAGTTTAACAAACAGCCGTGAACGACGCCTGCAACTGTCTAGAAGTCTTTGCAAAAAGAAATCACCACGACAATGTAACAAAGCCAAGCTGTGAACAACCCAACAAGCTCTGTAGTGGCTGCCGCAACAAGGCAAGTATTTAGAAATCGTTCAAGAGGGACCCATTGTTTGATTCGGATCCAAATTCGAGGTAACAATTCAAAATATTTTTCGGTTTATTATTGGCTTCGGTTTCAATCCTGTTTCAAGCTTTGTGTCTCTAGTGATTGTAACCAGTATAGGCAAGTTTTGATTCGGTTATGAGTACTCTCAGTGTGAAATATTCTGGGCTTAATTTTGTTCCATTCTCACAAAACAGATGGTTTAAATCCGTGTTCAGGTTTTCGTTTTAGTTTGTAGTTCTGTTTTATGAATCATTGTTTTTATGCTTGTGTTTGTTCATAAGATCGGCGATGAATTTCGACGTCGGGGTAACATTGCGGATACTGCTGTTTTTATTTCAATCACTTGATGGCCTATTTTTGTTCTGTATTGCAGGAAGATAGCAAAAAGAACTTTAACATCGGCAATGAGATGCGAGTAATCTGCTCAAGCTTTTCTAGTAAGGGAATTCCAGTAATGTCTGCTGTGGATGATAACTAACTTTAAGGTATACTGCCAAGATGCTTGTTTGGATGCATATAAGTGCTTGGGATTGAGATTCAAGCCAAAATAATTTAATAGATGAAATGTCCACTTTAAGAATATGGGCATCCCTTTAAAAAAAAAAGGAGATTATGTGTTTGTTTGGGTGCAAAGGAAGTTGAGAAGGCATATTCATCATTTGAATGTTTCTCCTGTTGGAGTTGGTCTTATGGGCTACATGGGAAACAAGGTAATGACATAACATAAGATAACTCTCACTATATGTGTGTATTTATTTAGTAGACGAGGTAACAAATTATGACTAATGCATGGGTCTGTTTCGGTTAGTATGTCGGTTTATCAGTCGCGTGTGTGCTTTGTCTGTTCCCATCTTGCTTCTGGCCAAAAAGATGGAGCGGAGCAAAGAAGAAACTCAGATGTTCATGAAATTCTACAGTGCACTCGTTTCTCTTCAGTCTTTGACACAGATCAACCACGCACGATTCCGTCACACGAGTAAGCATGCATTGCCTCACTTTAATTTGCATATTTTTTGCTAAGAAAGATTTCACATCAATATTGTGAATGGAAGATCTTGGATTCATTGATGAGTTGCTTTCTGATGCAGTCAAATTTTCTGGTTTGGTGATTTGAATTACTGAATCAATATGTCGGATGGCGCGGTTCAGAAGCTAGTAGCTCAAAAAAAGTGGGATGAACTCAAGAATTATGACCAGGTAAGGACTAAATCACTCGAGAAAATAATCTCTCAAGAATTACAGTCGATTCTGATGTTGCATTTAATCTTGGTAAAATCAATTTGGCTGATGATGAAGTCAGATCCAGGGTGTCCCAAGCTTTACATGTTGTTGGTTTAGCTGACTACATGAAGGTATTATGGACTTTGAGTTGAACGCCAAAACAAATGTGTGAATTGAACGTATAATAAATGAACTTTCCCTCTGTTGCAATGTTCAGAGATTTGTCCAAACTCTGAGTGGTAGCCAGAAGCAGAGGGTTGCCATTGTTGGTGCTCTAGCAGAAGCTTGTAAAGTTCTGTTGTTGGATGATCTCACAACATTCCTGGATGAAATTGACCAGGTGATCTTTTGAGATTTTTTATGCCTTCATTGCCATGTAATCATGGTCATCAGTCCTAATGATAAATTGCAAATTATCTTTGAAGTTTGGGTATGACGTTTCAGCTTATGCTCTCTGCATGTCACTTGTTTTTACTTTAAAATGTCATTTTTATTGATCATATTGGAAAATAGATCTTCAAATTCACAATTTTGAATCTCAAGTTGATAACCATGTTTGTTATTTGTAAAAAATCATGAAAATTGATATCCTTGAAATGGCATCAATTGAGGAAATTATATCAGCTACTCAATACTAGTAGGAATCACTGTTTTTTTCTTCCTTCATATCATTTATAAACCTATGCCTTTTATCCGCATCTGACATGTGGTGATATGCACGCGGACAGATAACAATTTATTTTTTCTTACCACTGAACATGAGGGCTTTTGACGTTTCGGCGCAATACCAACACTTACTGATATATGTTTCACACTTTACCTTAAAAGGTTGGCGTTATCAAAGCTGTTAGAAACTGTCTGGATACTTCTGAAGAAGTTACAGCATTATGGATCTCCATACCATTCACTGCTTCTTATTCGAGTGTATATGATAGCTGTGTTTTGATGTGCGTGTGTGCTTTGTGAAAAAAAGGTTCTTTGATTTCCCTCTCACTTTCTGTGTAAACGCCTTTTTGTGAGTCTCCCAACCTGCCCCCCTCTATCTTCTGACTTGGTCCTGTTATGTGCAAGTCAAGATCCACAAGAACACGACGTTAAGGAAAATAAAGGCTCCTTCCATTTTTGTTTCAGCGCATCATTAATATGTCGAAGAAAGTTGTTGGCAGATTGATTACGGGTGCATGGCTGATAAAAGGGAGTTGATAAATGTGTCGAAACTATCAATTGATGAAGGTAAACCTGTATGGAACATGTTGTTTATGTTTATTAGATTTCCTTTCGGGGAAGGACATTTTTGGGGAATGCTTTAGAAAGAGTTTTAAACTTGTTTCAAGCATGTTTTCTGTTTAAAATTTGTTTCATCATTAAAATTCTATTTAAATTTTCAGGTACACTCTTTTTTGGGTGCTTCTTTTGGCTGCCAAATTTTCATTCAGCTTTTTTGTCCAGGTAATTTTTATATGTGTAGTTTGTTTTCCTAAAATGTTTTGTGAGCTTGTTTGGTCTCTTTTGAATATTGTCTCTGTTCAGATCAAGCCTCTTGTTAAGCCAACTAAAGATATAATGAGCATTCAACATGTTAAGTTTGGATGGCATGAGTTTTTCCCAAATGGTAGATTCTTCTCATTTCTAATTATTCAATTCTGTCTTTCTGTTAATTCTATTGATCTAAAATTTCCCTGTTGTGCAGCTAAAAATAATTATGGTGCCGCACACTCTGGGCTCCTGTACTTAGGGTGTATGCACTATTTTTCCTGGCCATGTTCAAATATATTAATCTTCTCTTTTGTATGGGATAACTTTTTCAGCATAACATCTCTTTACATTTTGAATGCAGGTTTATTTCATGGACACCCAAATTTGGTATTCCATATTCTCAACTGTGTGTGGTGGTGTTCTTGGAGCCTTCGATCGTCTGGGAGAGGTACTTTTCTCTTTGCATTATATCAAATAAATTAAAATTGGATTATTCTTATAGAACCATAAAGATAAAATACTTTAAGTCATGATCCTTTAAACAACCAGTTAATGTCATTGTCTATCTGCCTATGCAGATACACACTCTGAGCATGCTCAGATCACGGTTTCAGTCATTACCTGGTGCATTCAATAGTTACTTGGTTCCTACTGACAAGAGAAAGAAAAAGGGATTCTCTCTCTCAAAGGGATTTACCGAGGTTTCTATCATATTTTCTTCCCATTGCTAACTTGTGTAAGCTAAATGTAATTATTTATCTTCACTCATGTTTCAATGTTTGTATAGATTTCCACAAATAGAAGGAGTGAAGCTGCTAAGTTTTCCCAATTATGAAACAAAATTATATTTGCAGTTTCCGCGAGGAAGATTTTATAAGTGACAGGAAAGGCCTCAAAGTCAAACTCTTTAGTTTCTTTTCTTTGTTCTCAATCCTAGCTTCAACTATTCCTCCTCCATATTTTGATTTGTCATTTATCACTTATCAAGGACTAAACTATATTAGCATCACTCCAGGGAGATGGACCTTTTGTTGGTTCCTTACTCATCAGATCCTAGCTTGAAAATAATTTAATGGCCACCATTTATGCTTGCAAGCAAGGTTCCTATTGATTCCTTGTGCAATTCAATTTTTACAACTCATGTGTTTGTTACCAGCTCCTATAATTGACTCCCTCTCAACCTTTACAGATTCCTATTGCACTGGATATGGCAGCTCAATTTCGAGGAAGGGACTGTTATCATGTAAAGAGTTTCTTTTGCTATTGTTGTAGATTAGTTTGATATCTACTAGATTAGTTACTTTCTCAAACAGTTTTGTTTAGATATTGAGTATTACATGGTTATGGGGGCAAATCTACCGATATGGGATGGTCAGTTGCTTGACAGACATTGTTATGAATTTTGCTACTCAATCCTCTCATTTATTGTAGTATTGAGTTATAAAATCTCATTTTCTTAAAAGAATAAGTAAAGGGAATTAGTAGCGCTTTTCTAGAAAATGCTATTAAAGATAGTGTCTACGATAACACTTTTAGAAAAAGCGCAATTAAATACAAGGACTATAATAGCACTTCTAAAAAAAGCGCTATTAAATACAAGGACAATAATAGCACTTCTTCAAAAAGCGCTATTAAATCCTTTCATAAACAAGGTGTATGGTAGCGCGGAATAGGGCAATGATAGCATTTATAATGAAGTGCTATTAAAAACACTCATTTTAATAGCGTTTTCAAAGCACTATTATATGTATCAAATCTATAATAGCGGGGGCTTTTATAACGCTATTAAAGGTGAAAAAAAGCGCTATTAAAAACAATTTTTGGCGTAGTGTTTGCATCTCGGTTACAACAAATCTTCCATGTCTCTTGCAAAGTATCTACCACATTAGCTTTCTTGAAAGCATCTACTCCAATATCACAAATAATGTCTTCTAGAGTATCATTAATAAATTCATCACCATCTTAAATTGTATGTGACAAAGGTCTTTTTTGTCACTTCACCGTGACATTCCCATTTCGTGTAATTTTAAATAATTTCATCACAACCTAAATAATTGAATATAACAACACTTGGATGTTTTTGTGTATTTCAGCAGATTTTACAAGGACACCCAAAAATCTCATTATCGTTAGGAAGGTTTTCTTTCTGCAAATTCAAGAATTTGAATCACTCCATTCTCATACTCTTTACTTAATATATTAACTTTTATCCAACTATGATCCATAATCACGTACAACTTCTAAAAATAAAATAAAAATAGTACACAACCAATAAAAAAACCATATAAGTCTCAAAAACCATAATAACAACAATAATAACGAGGCAACAACATCAAGGGCAACCACAATACCAACTACGGAAACAACAATAATAAAAATAACAACAAACAAACAAATAAGCAACAATGATAATGGAGAACTTGTACATACCAGAAATGTGATGAGAAACTCTAAGAAAAATGTTGGTTTGAGGTTCGAGCTTCCTTCCTCCTTGGAGACTAATGGTGTTTTAGTTTCGTTCGCTGGAGAAGAATAACGTTTCAGAAAGTTAGGGTGCAAAAAGTGAATGAGACTTAACATTAAATCTAAAGGAATAAAAAATTGTTAAGAGAGTTTTTATCTCGGTTTTATTAAAAAACCGAGGGAGCATGATTCACGTGAAAATTATAAAAAGAAATAAAAGGGCCTTTTTAGTTTTGAATAAAACATAAAATTGTAAGCGCTGGGAATCAAAGATCAAATCCAGCCAACATTTTATGTTGATTTTTATGAAAACGGAGGTAAAAGATTTAGTTTTTTACAAAAATAAATAAATAATGGGACGTTTCATGTCTTTTGACCTCAATTTTCAATAGCTAAGATAAAAGCTTCGTCATTAAATGTATTATTTTTAGTAGTGCAAGGAAACAAAATGAAACTCGATATGAAGCTTCCTGCACCACTGGCTCTGTCTTCTCCATCACATTTCTAGTACATAAATCACTTTATCCATGCATGTTATTTAGAAATGTTAGTTGTTGTTGTAAAATGTTTAATGTTGTGGTTATTGTTGAGATTTAAAATTTAACTATGTTAGTACTATATGTTGTTGTCGTTGAGAGTAAAAGGTTTAATGTAGCAGTTTTAAATGAAGTTTTGTCTTTAAAAGTTTTGTTGTTGTTACTAGGATCCTCTGTTCGGTGATATTTTTAGCCTGAGATTACTTTTTAAATAAGTTAGTAAGTGTTCTAAAATGTATATATAACAACATGCAATTACTAATTTTAATTTTAAAGGGTAGTTATGGATCATAATTAGATGAAAGATAATAGATTAAGTGTGTAGTATGAGAATGAAGGTTAGATTTCTTCAATTTGTTGAAAGAAATTTTCTTGACAACAATGAAGTTTTTTATTGTCCTTGTGGTTTTTGTGAGAACATTAAGAGGCATGGAAAGAAATAAAAATTGAATCATTTATGTTCTCAGGATCCTAAAACGTTTTGTTGTTGTTATCAGGATCTTTTGATCTGTGATACTTTTGTCATAAGATTACTTGTTAAATAAGTTAGTAAATATCCTAAAATGTATGTGTAAAAACATGTAATTACTAATTTTAATTTTATAAGGTAATTATGGATCACTAGCGTTCAGATGGGCACTCCCGTGCCCGTCTATCCGATTTTGTTAATGCGAACAGCATAGAAAAATAAACGTGTGTGTATTTTGTATGAAGTTTTTATCATACTTAAGATTAATTAAATACATTTGGTTTTAGATATCCTCTAGCAATCTTAAAATTGGGATGATAAATGATTATATACTAAAAATATTTTAGTGAATTAACTATACATTAATGCTACTATTATTTTAAACATACCAAATTAAATAAATTTAGATTAAAAAATATGTTGTCTAAACATGCTAATAATATTATTACATTTTAAAAATGACAAATAAAGTTATTTTAAATTATATTAAATAATCGAAAAATACAAAATACTATTTATACTGTATAATCAATAACATTCTTTAAGAGGAAAGCCGAACATAAAATCTTTATCTTGAAAATTTTCTCTCTCCTTGCAATTGTTTTCCGTAGTAAAGAAAAAATGTAAGACTCTCACATTAAAATTGCTTTAGAGGAAAATATAGTGAAAGTAATAGTAATTAGTGTAATATATTATTTTAAACCATGTGACTTGTTTGATTATAATTTTGTGTACTGAGCCATAAATAAATGTATACTTGAAGAATGGAGATATTTTGTTTTAGTTCAGATTTGGTAAAACAACAATCCTGACTTATTTTTGAATTACGTGGATTTCTGGTAAAAAAGGAAAACAATGGATTTAGTGAATATACATGGTTTTATTTACACAAACCAATAGTAAAAGTAAAACTCATGCATTCAAAAATATTCTATGGATAAATATTATTAAATGAATAAAATAAAAATATGTCCTTCCTTTGAGATATTATTTCTTTTTTCACCATTTTCTAAAGTTGTGTTTTATCTGTTATCACTGTGGAGCCCCAACCAACAGAGTAAACTTTTAGACGCTTGACCTGTTTTAATAAGGATGATAAAAGTGTTAGTCAAAGAGTGGTGAAAATGCAACAAACAGATTTTTTATACATGTTGTGAAAAAGGTAAATGCACCTTATTGTCTAGCTTGCCGATAGATGAAATTGTTTGTTCATCCTTCCATGTGTTCCATTTATCTTTAAAATCCCCCATCTAAAATTTATTCCGTATAAGAATAGTGAGAATAAGTAGGATCCAATTGATTGATTATATTAAAAGCATAAATAAGTAGGATCCAATTGATTTATTATATTAAAAACATAAAATAAATGATTAAGTATAACTTACTTTTATGTCGAAGCAAGTTTCAACATTCTTCCGTCTCAGTTCCTTACATAATTGGAAGACTTTATTGTGTTCTAGTTTGGCTGTATATCAAAGCCACACAATTTTATACTTAGTTATTATCATATAAAGAATAAAATATAATATTGGTATTTCGTGTAACTAAAATGGGAATCAATGTGTGAGATTATTTTTTTAATGTATGTAAATACCTGCGAGTGCGATAAAAGAATTTGTTTAAAGACTACATTTTTTGTGTAGTCACCATCTTCTCCTTCCAATTTTCCTTCCTTGGATAAAACTTTTGTTGTAGTCTGTGAAACACCTCTGGATAAAGCCACATATAACTGTCCATGACTGAAAATATGTCGTGGAAGATATATTCCAACATTTGGGATGGTTTGTCCTTGTGACTTATTTATTGTAATTGCAAAACTTAGTCGCACAGGAAACTGCTTTCTACTAAGGACAAAAGGCAACCCATCACTGGCCGATGTTTTTATTTTAATTCTAGACAAGAAAGCTTGTCTTCCTGCGTTGCTTCCTGTCAAGATTTCCATATCCAACATATTCATATATAACCCACGACATAACAATTGTGTCCCATTACACAACTCATATCTAGGATCTAGATTTCGCAACAACATCAATGGTGCACCCTTTTTCATCTTTAGAATATGTGGGGGCAAACTACCTTGTGCAATTGAGTTTAAGAATTCTTGCTGGTATAAATTATTATTATCCACTTCAACCTCGTCAAATGATAACAAATTATGTTCTTCTCCTGGAAACTGGTCAATAATTATATCATTTAATTTTTGGACACCATCGTTTGTTGGGGTCAAAATAGCTCTTTGTACTATATAAGAGGCATCCCAAACATGCAATTCTAAATCATGAAAAATATGTTGTATAAGCACTTGTATGGAATGTTCACCTTCCCATGGGACTGCAATCTGTGAAGGCAACCTCACCATTTCATCTGGTTTGGTAGGTTCAACACCATCACCAATGTGCATAAGAAATTCTGCAAACTCTTGATCATGCAATGATCGCATATTTTGACGCAATCGCAAAATTTTGGTATGAGCCCATAAATGAGACTGAACAATACACGCAGAAATCATTTGTACCTTAGTACCTTTTCTTACAACAGGAAGAACTTGACGAAAGTCTCCCCCATGATCATAACTTTTCCTCTAAATGGAGCAGTGTTACTACAAATGTCTTGTAATGGTCGATCTAAGGATTCCAAACAATTTTTGTTTATCATTGGGGCTTCATCCAAAATTATTGCATCAGAAACCCTAATGAGATTTGCAAGATCGTTTTTCTTTTGAATACCACAACTGGAACTTAGTTGTATATCGATAGGTATCTTAAATCGAGAGTGCGCAGTTCTACCATCGGGTAACAACGTTG